AAACAAAATGTGTCAAATAATAATAGATTATTATTGGAATGAAGTGATAATACATACAACATGGCTAACCTCAACATTATGAGAAGTGAAAGAAGCCAGATGTCAAAGACCATGTATCTACTGGGTGATTCCGCTGATTATGAAATGCCCAGACATGGTAAATCTACAGACACAGAAAGTTTCTAAGTGATAATCTGGTGCTGTGAATAGCAAAAGGCAGCTGCCTGCAAATGGAGACAAGATATCTTTTTAGGGTGATGGAAAATTTTAAAATTGGAACGTGGTGATGGTTGCATAACTGTAAATTTTTAAAAGTAATCATTTAGCTGTATTCCTAAAATAAGTGAATTTATGGTACATAAAGAGCACTTTACTAAATGTTAAAGGGGGGAGATCAAGAAATAGGTGGAGGGGGGAAGGAAGGGAAAGAGAATGAAAAAGGGAATTAAGGTGTGTTATATATATGTACCAGCTCCATACAAGAAATATACTACATACATGTACTTATTAAAAATAGCGATAAAACCACAATGCAATTTTATGTGTAATTCTGATCCTTATAGACCATGACTATAAGACTTTCCTAAAATAGGGCTGCCTTGATTCCCAAGGACAATATAGCAGAGGTTTCTCAAATCATAAAATCAAACTGAAGTATATATTCTTGCTGTACAAATAGATGGATCACTCAGCATTCCTATACTTAACTAGTATAGGAACTATTCCAATAAATGCTTACTAGGTGAACAATGAAACCATCCTTGTAGTGAAGATTTTCCTCCCCAAATAGCATATCCTCCTGATACCTGAAACTCAAGTAGTTTTTCTTAATTAAAAAAAAATTAAATGCCAAAATTTCTAGGGGATAAGTCAGGATTGGGTAGGTTGTAAGGAAGTAATTCCTTAGTGTTGCATCTTATTTAGATGAGGAATGGCCTGGGGATGGGGAGTTGGGGGGTCTGAATGTCTTTACAGAGTCACTCTGAGACCCAGGTTGACCATGGCTTAACTAATCTACAGCAGTCATGAAAAATGAGAAAGACCAAAAGGGGTGAATGGGCTTTCCAATGTTATTCCCCAGAAGTGACACAAGTCACTTTCATTCCATTGAGGTGCCTTTGTTTCCCTAATCCAAGTGGGCTGAGCTATTCAGAGGCTTACGTGGAGAGTATTTTGATGGGTACTGCTGTCTGCTACACCCAGCTGCTGGAGTAGGGGAACCCTGTCTCAGAGCTACAGACTTCTCCCTGTACCTACTTAGAAACCGCTGATGGACACCCAAGGGTAGATGAATTTGATTCTTTGAAGCAAGTTTTGCTCAAAGATAAAGTTAAGTAGGAAACAAACATCCCTTGTGGCATCCCTGAAGTGCTTTGCTCTTTTTTGGGAGACTGTCCTTAATTCACTTTTGCTTTCCCACCACTGAGCACTGTGTCTGGTACACTGCAGCAGCTTCCCGAGTATGTGAGCAATTGAGTTTTGTCTCAGAAACAGCTCACGTGAAAACCTACAGTCTGAATAAGAATGTGATAAGCTTTTGATAAGCTTTCAATTATAAGGTTTTGGTGGAAATTCCTTTACCTCAGTTAAGGAGAATCATGAAAACACACTTAAATTCTGAAAGAAAAGAAGAAGCAATTTAACATGAACAAAATCACCTTTACTGCTGAAACTGTATCACATTCACACCTGACAAAATGCATACCTGTACTGCTAAACTAAACTCAGTGCATTCTAAGACTACAAGGAAATGCAGCAATGTTTGTCATTCAGTAACAGTAAAGCTATTTGGATAAATGCCTTAAGAGGCTTAGTTACCAACTTGTAAGCCAACGTTTATAATACTGAGCTCCGAGCTTCTGGCCTCTGCTCTTGGACTCTTAAATTACACTGCCAGTTTTATCATCTTCTAATACTCCTCTTTGATAGTGTCTCTATTAAAAATAGAGGGCTCAAGTCCTTAATTCTGGCAAGGGTGGCTCTTCATGGAACTTCTCATGTGTTTAAAAGAATTATTATTTTAACCCACACTCCCAAATGAGCCATCAGTCTGACCTGTGTGCTCACAGGCTGTGAGCTCCTTCTGATGCTACTTTCTTACTGAAATCTTGGCAACTGCTTGGCCATTGTTACCAAGCTGTGAAGTTCTCAGAATAACTCAGCTGACCCAGATCTGAGCTTCTAAAGTATCATGGCCTGTAAAAGTTATCTGGGCAACACAAAATGTCCACAAGTTTTAATTTCAAAGTTCTGAGCCTCCTTTGTCCTGAGCTACTATATGAACTTTGGAAGGACTGTAGGTTACATTATATCCCCATAAAGATAGTAACAAGGATCGCTTAAGAAATAGTTATTCTTGTCCATCAGTACAAGTATTTCCCTGAATTGTAATATTTAGTTTTAATAAAAAATATTATCCTTGAAAATGTAAATGCTTACGCTTCTTTTCTGAGGGAAAGGATTTATCTGAGGATTTTGCTTTTAACAATATTGGTATCAATATTGTTTTTGCTTGGCCATAGGCAGATCTGTTTCTGAATTTACTTATTTACAATATATACAAAATTTGGTTCTAAAGCCAACTCTAATTTTCCTATGTCTTTAATAAGTGGATCAGGGGCTGAGGATATAGCTCAGTGGCACAGTGCTGCTTGCCAAGTATGGGGTCGTGAGTTCAATCCCCCAGTACTACCAAAAAAATTGTTAAAAGGTGGATTGTTTATTTGGGCAGATATAGTCTACAAATGAAAATATTTGTTTCACTTAAAGACATTTAAATATTTTAAATTATTTAATTTTAATTATGGTGAAAATTACAATATTATTGTCTAAGTCATATTTAAGCAGCAATAAGCAGTTTCTTAAAGTAGAAAATAATGTAAAATTGATCTTATTCCTTTTTTTAACTTTACAAAACTCCGCTGATAAACTGGGGTTAATATTTTTCAACTTCATCCTAAAGAGAAAAACACTGAAAACTCTTCATCTTGCCATTCTGTACCTACGTACGTTTTCGCTGCTTTTCCTCGGATTCGCGTTTGAAACAACCAAACCTGGAAAAGTTTCCTTAACTCTTCAAATCTCCAACCATATCGTAAAATCCTTTGTCACTTTACCCAGTCAGCTTGAGAGTCTCCATTTCTTTTTCAAGCGAATCACAGTCTTGATCGATTGATTAGCCTGCTTGGCTCCTGCTGTATCAATTTGGAGAGTTTTTGTATAGATTGATAAGCATAAAAAGTCTAAAGTAGGGCGGTTCCAGACTGTATTAGAACAACTTTTTCCCATAAAGCATTCCGGTTCCTCACAAAACTCGGGGCAGAAGAATGAATGATAGAGCATTCACCAATAGGGAGTGGAGAGGAGTATTTTGTCTAAGTTTGCATCCAATCCTTGTGAGTCAGAGGTGGGAATTTTAAATAGGTGTCTTTTCCTTGGAATTTTCTTAAAGTGGTATCACCCCCTGTTGATGTTATGTGTCACGAGTGTGAAATCATCATTATGAATTAGAACATTTCCTCATTTTTTTGAGGTAAAAATAAGCAAAATGACTGTACAATTTGAGAGAACTTCTAATATAATCACTCGGTAACTTTGTCAATTTGAGGGAGCTGTGAAGTTATTTCTATTTGATTTCTTTTTTTTATGGCTATATACACAGCAGGTATTAATGCACCAGTGTTTCTCTCTTTTAAAAAAATGAAAGCTAAGAAACTTGATTATAGATATATTTTTAATTCGTTTTTTGTTGTCTTTTTTTTTTCGCTCTTTGAATATTAGCTGCAAGTCATTATTTGGGGTGATCTTTCATGCCCCCAAAGATTTTTTATTTTATACAAACTATAGATTTCCTTATTTTAAGTTCACAAAATATTTGCGGTATCATGAAACTGAAGTCTTAAAAATATACGACCTATACTATGCAATGTTTCAGTAACTCTTGGAGATCAGCTATAATAAATAGACAACTGATAAATACTTTACTAATGCTTTATTTTGGAATTGGTTTTTTACTTAATATAACTCTGCCTTCTAGGTTGCTCCTTTTAAAAAGTAAGCCAATATAAAACTAGCTTATTATAAATTTAAGGTTGCTTGACAATAAGCCTCTAGCGAATTAAACAGATATCAACTTTTACAAAGGACAAGAAATATGTTTTGGAGGGAGAATTTTAAAAAAAGATTTTTAAGTGTTCCTGTACAATGCTTGGATCCCCCCAGCATGAAGCCCGCTGCCTTTGAAGTGTCTTTCAGCTGACACAGGAATTTTCATCTTGAAGAAATATCTGACAGCCTAGTCATGTTAGGAGCTGTCATAATATTTACCTTTCTAAATTGTCACTGGTCTTTTTTTTTTTTTTTTTTTAGCAATTTTTCGATGATGCTATTAGAACTTGTCGGTGTGTACTAGGAGCCCAAATCCAGCGCTTAGCCTCACGATTTGCTGCCCAGCCTCAGCTGCTTTACATAAAGCCGCACGCCTCACATTTAAATTTATCAGGCCCGTATAGTAATGGTATCCGTGTCCTGGGGTTGCTGTGACGACTGAAATGTGGTGGTCTGTGCACAGCTCTTGGAACGGTGCATGGCACACAATAAATGCTCAACGTCGGGTGTTATCATTGTCATCCCTCAAAGTACGATTAGACTAAGAGCTCCAGCGCCTGAATGAATATATGAATGAACGAACAGATCAGTTACTGGTGGTTCCTGAGGTCGGCGCCGGCTGATTTACCCTTCAACGAAGTTAAGCACGAAGCTACTCTCTTTGACATCCAGCCCCAAATTAGAGCCGGAAGCAAGAGCAAATAGGTGGGCGGTGCCAGTCTAGAGGAACATTCTTTCAGCCAATAGACGCATCACTCAGAAAACAAGCCTCTAACCCCACCAATCGTGCAACCGCGAGAACTAAGGCCAATTATCGCGAGGTTCCATCCAGGGCTCCAATACTCGGGTTTCCCAACTCCCAGCAGCGCGAGTTCCGCCCCGCCCAGGCCCCGCCCCCTCCCCGCCCCCGGCCTTCGCCCCGCCCCGCCCCGCCCGCTGCTCCCGGCTGGTCGTCCAGCGCTCGCTGCGCTCCGGAGCGCTGGCTGGGCCGGCGCCGAGGTGAGTGCAGGGGCCGCGGCGTAGGGAGGCTCCCACGTCAGGTCTCCCGGCCCGGCCCCCGGCGAGGACCTCCACACCCCTGAAATCTCCTGGCCGTGGGGAGTGGGAGCCCGGGCTGTTCGGCCTCGCCCTGCGCGGCCCGTCGCCCCGAGATCCCAGTAACCCCTGGTCAGTGAGGCTGCCCGAGCTCGCAGCTGCCACATGTAGCCTCCTTAGTGCCTGCGAGCTCGAGTGTTTGCCTGAGACGTGTGCTAGCGTCCTCTAGCACCAAGAAAATTACCTTGTTATGAATGCTTTGAATGTACAGTTTCTAATTCCCTGATCTCCCAAGTCAGGAAGTTGGAGTGGGTATTCTGTCTATGTAACAGACTCTTTCCCTGTGAATACTCTTTCTTATAATGTACGGAATTTTCTTAAAATGGGAGTTTTTTAAAAATAGAAAATCGATGTTCACCCGTCAGAAGCTCGTGTGTAGGCGCGGCTGTCTACACTGAGTGCTTTAACTGTAGACATGAGGTAGTGAGGGGGAGTGGGGAAGAACATGATTCTGCCAAAGGCTGTCTCTTGCCGGTGAAAACGTGACGAAAACGAGGGTTGTTGATTGTTGGCATTGTTGATTTCATTTGTATAGATTTTAATCTTATAATCTGCCTTCGTAGCAAGATGCGTTGAAACAGCGGCTTTCATTTGTATTGATGCCTCTCCTAGTTGTAGCAAGATACGATTTAACAAGGTGTAATGTTTTTGAGGCAACCAACCCTAGCCATGGCATTCAGAAGGAACGCTGTCAGGTTAGAGTGAACACTCTTATTGAATCTTCCATTAGTGAGTGTGGGTTTTGGATATAGTTTGACTTTACAATGCAAAGTCTTCCATGTTTGTAAGCTTTGTCTACCACTTAAGTGACGAAAGGAAAAAGCCCTGGGTGCGTTGAAGTGCATGTAAGAGGCTTTGCTGCGAGGCCACTTGTGTTGGAATTCTGCAGTTGCTTTCTGAGAAACTTATTCCAAAAAATGTACTAAGTACTAACAATTTCAGTGCATGATTCTGAGGACTTAGAGGTGCTTAGGATAGGGAGCAAGTGTATCGGTCTTCACGTGGGTAAATGAAGAGTCAGCCTCCCCACATTATCCCAGGGAGTATTCTAATTTCATCCTCCAATCATCGGCTGTTTGAAGTCTTACTCGCACCTCCTTACTGGGTATTGAACCCAGGGCCTTCCTACTGAACTACCTTCCCAGCCCACTTTTTAAAAAAAAAATTTTGAGACACCCTTTCATTAAATTGTCCAAGATGAATTTGAGCTTACAATCCTCCTGACTCAGCCACCCCAGACAGCTGGGATTATAGATCCTAGTGCACCACCACTCCCAACCTGAAGGCTTACTTTTGGATATTGTACTAGATGCAGATATTTGAGCAGGAAGAAAGCAACAAAAGCTGTGCCCTTAGGATTTTACAAGGTCTTAGCTAGACAGTAATTGAGTAATCCATAAATATATAGAATACAAATTATACCGAGTCGTGTAAAGAAACTCACAAGGCAGGGCTGCTGTCAGAGAGTATCATGAGTCTAAGATAAGGAAGTGGTTTTTACATTCAAACCTAAAGGACAATGGGACAGTGCTTTTCAGGGTAAAAAGAAAGGGGCAGGTGCTGAGAAGTTTGATAATTCTAGACACTCAAGAGTCCAGGAAGAGTGGAAACTGCTCCCCGGGAAAAACCCAGGGAGCATGCTGCAGTTGAGTCTGGAGAAGTGGGTGCAGTCTGATGGTGAGGAGCCCTGAAGAGTGAGTTTGATTTTCTGGATAAGAAGCTTCTGTAAGGTCAATGCTTGATCACCAAGTGTAGTTGGATGTGCGTTTTCAAAGGCTCACTGCTCTGATCCGTGGATTAGAAGGGACATGGGGAAACCCTAATGCAGTTGGCCCAGGTAGGCGACAGGGGCTTTGGTCTTGCCAGGTGGACAGCCATGGCTAGAACTGATGTGTATTTTGGAAATGGAAATAACTAGGCTTTTGGTAGGTTGGAGATGTGAATGAATGAAAGGATGGGACTATTTGTGACTTCCAAATGGATAGAAGTGCCCCCACCCTGTACTAAGAGTGAGTTCAGATTGGCAGTGAACATTAATGGCTCTCTGTGAGTGTATTAAATTAGATACTCTTGTGGAACATCTAAACTGCTTCCAGTTTACTACTTCAGTGAATAACTGCCTAGAAAGCATCACACAGATTGATGCTAGTTATTGACCAGTTCTTCTTGGTTTTAGAGAGACAAATTTTGAGAGCGAAGTCACATAGTCTGTCTCATAAGGTGTTTCATAAAGTAGGTAAGTAGGTGGGAGGGATTTGGTAAAATTTTGGATGATTATGTTGCATTGAGGATACTATTGAACATTTCATATTCTTCTTTTTTAATATGAATTGGAAAGTACTACCTTACTAGGTAGAAATTAGAGTTTGGAAATTACAGAAAGTAACCAAAAAGTTACAAAACTCTGCTTGTAGCCTTTGGTATAAAATCTCAGTGAAAATTGTTTTGTTAAGGGAAAAACATTTTCTTTGAAAGGTGCTGTACTTTTTTTTTCCCAAATAGGGAGTTTTGGAAAGATGCCCAGGAAACAGATTAGAATCTTTGAGGAAAGCTTAACTTTGTAGTTGTTTTTAGCATTTCCTCACTATCTTGTGAAATCTTGTAAATCAGTGCTTGTGAAGAACCCACACTCTGAAAGCCTTCGGGGCCTGGTGTCAAATCTTTGCTTTTAATCTCTTTTGAGCTGTTCCACAAGGTGAATTAAGGAAGCCTAAAGCCTGATTCTTGCTGTGCTAAGCCGTGGTGAAATTTGTTTCAGCTCTGTGTCCAGTGGATAAGATGTCAAATGTTACTTTTCTTCCTGGTCTTGCCAATTTTGTGGCTAGAAGAAAATTTGAAATAATTTACCCTGGACTCAGGCCTTTAAATTAATATATTAATTGCTAAATCCATTTTATGTCTCAGTCAACTGAGACGCAGAAGGATTGTAATGGAATAATACAGGGTTCTGGTTTCCAAATGCAGTGTTTGTTTTTTCATTGGAATAATTTTGAAATAATAACACTAGGTGACCTTGGACCTATGTCTTTACTACTTTTGATAATCTGCAAAGCTGAAAAGAAAGGAAAGAAGAAAATAAGTTGGAATATAGGACAGTTTTTAGATATTAGGAAGTGGAGGGAACTGAGTTGTTAGTGATCTAAATAGGAAAAATATATATTTTAATGTTTTAATAAACTTAAATGCAAAATGAGGTAATTCAAGATGCAAGTGGACCTTGATTATTTGACTTTTAAGGTTTTCCGTTAGTTGCATATTATAAAATTTGTCTGTATTCTCCTGGGCAAGGATCCCTACCTGAAGTCTAGAAAGTATTTCTCTGATAAGTAGTAAATGTAGCTTAATCAGAATTTTTTTATTGTTTATTTTGGCCTCATATGTGATAATTTTAGTTGTCGTAAAAATATAGGATACCTTATAAAACTATCTCTACTGTGTCTGAATATATGTAGTTCTCTTTGTTAATAGATTGATTGTCACAGCTTATGAGAAGTCTTGTAATGATCAAAGTTTGTTATTCTCTTTATAGATATGGACCAGTTTTGATACAATGTAGTGCTCCAGCATGCCTGACGGAATATGTTCAGTCATGGCTTCTGAACTTTGCAAGACGATTTCTGTGGCAAGGCTTGAAAAGCACAAGAATTTGTTCTTAAATTACAGGAACCTGCACCATTTCCCACTGGAGTTATTGAAAGGAGAAGGGCTGCAGTATTTGGAGAGACTCTATATGAAACGGAACTCCCTTACCACCTTGGTATGGTCTTATATTCCATTTGAAACTATCACATGTAAATGTGGTCCTGGCAGAGATGTGTTTCACATGCCCTGAGATGCGCACACCACGGTGTAGAACCCTTCTTGTGTCTTACACACAAGTAAATACATAAACACTAGCTGGGGATTCATCATCCAGTCCCTGAAGTTTTGAGGTTACAGGAGAAGTTCTGTAGGAAACCAAAATGTTCACTAATAAACTATTTAGATAATTAATCCCCAGTCAAAAACCCCACGTGATTTAGCATGTGCATGTATCCCAGCTATGGATCCTTTGTGTTTTAAGCTTCCTGTGAGATTTATGAATTTTTAAGTTCCCAACAAGATAATTAAGAACTTATGCAGGAGAATAATGTTGTTAGATGACTTTGACTTATAGGCATTAAAAAGAATAATATGAAGACTAAGAGAGGTGTTTAGGAAGCTTAGTGAAGCCTTTGGGTGTTAACAAGGCAAATAAAAACCTTTATGCTTGCCCTGTGAAAATCTAAGTGATTTTAGAAATTTTTAGAATGATTTAGAATTTTTTTTGCTACAGAAGCAAGATGACCTAAGAATAATTCTCTTTGTAACCTAAATCGTATTACATGTGAAATAAAGAGAGTATTTAAACTTTTTTCAACAGAATTTCCTAATCAGGCTTTTATTCCCGCTGCTTATTATAAAATTCAATCTTTATTTTAAATGAATTTACTTATATGGCCTTTCCTAGTTATCACTTCACTTCCTTTGAATCTTGTAGTTGAATTCTAGTTCTAATTCATTTTAGATGATTTGTGACATTGTTGGGTTTTTGTGGTTATTATTCCTTTCACTATATTGAACCTTCCTAAGTGTCTGGAAAATATATCCTGATGGTTTGGTATATATGGCATATGTTCCTGGAAAAGTTGTATTTAATCTGTGAGCAGGTAGAAAGCATTATCAAGTTTATTTCTGCTGTATCTGGAAATAAATGAGTGCATATCTTTTATTTTTAGTGTTTGGCATATTGGTACATATGTTCAATGCCTAGATTTTTAAAATTAGATTTTCAGCGTTTGAATTTGGAAAATCTATATATAGGTTGTATGAATTTGCTTTTGCAAAATCACCGTTGCACGATAGGAAATCGTATTTACCTAAAGTTTTTTTAATCCTCTGGGGGAGAGATAATATAAGAAATACTTTGCCAAGAATGATAGTACAGATTTTCCTATGTTATTTATGAGAGAAAAAAATTGTAAGTGAATTACTTAACTTTCAGTCATAGCTCTATCGAGTAGAGTTTGTGCAAAGAAATTAACTTTCACTTATAAAAGTTGAACTTGGTCTTTGACAGTTTCTCACTGCAATTTTATAGTTGTGAAAATATCTGTCTACTGCAGTTATTTTTAATCGCTCATAGTATACATTTCAAATTCATGCTATGCTATCTTATTAAGCATTAAAGATTAAACAGTTGCACATGTTTATGATACAAGGTCCATTTAATTTTAATTACTTTCTCTTAGCAGTTAAAACATTTGAGTCCTGTGTATCAAAGATCTTTACAAAGCCCCGTACAGATACTAGGGGATGGTGAGAGTAGAAACAGTCATCTCCTTCTTTGTTTAAAGACAGTTTACTGCATAGATGTTGAAAGCAGATGAAATAATACTTGTCCTAGAGTGCTCTGAACTAGTGACTCTTACTGCTTTTAGAATATTTTCTGGTGTTAAAGATAAAATATAGTTCCTATGGGAGATTTAGTTATTGAAATTTGATTGTCCAAGAGGAGGGGACATTATTAGAAACATGTAGCATCTCAAATGCAGTATGGATTTAATTAGACTTTTATTATATTTTTAATAAGCATGGGAGCCTACCAGCCATTTTCATGTTGTTTTATTGTTTCCTATTAACATTGTCTCACGTGAAATACGTTCTCCACATTCTCCTTTTCACCCGCACCTTTCACCACGTGAAGCCTCTTGGTGGGAAGAGAAGGGGTCAGCTGGGTATAACTTTCCCCTTGCTTGATGGAGCGTGTCACTCATCTTTGTAGGGTGATTGTACATCAGAGATTCAGAATTTGAGGATTGGCCCTATTTAGAAGTGAAGCACAGGAAGAAAAAGTCATCTTTTTCATCACAAAAGTGATTTAATCATGGCACGTGTCCAAGACTCCAGAGGAATATATTGGGTAGCTCATAAATGACAGAAGTTTATTGCCCATAGTTTGGGGACTGGAACCCCTGGATCTAATGCTTGAATATTGGAGTGTGTAGCAAGGACTGCTTCCAGCTGAACACGTGGCACTTTCTCTGTGTCCTCACATGGTGGAATGGACAGGGGACACTAGCCCCATGCAGGATATCTGTGCCCCCGTGACCTAATCATGTCCCAGAGACCTGTACTTTATTCCATCACCTTGGGAATGAGGATTTCAACATGAATTTGGGGACAGATATGAATATTCAAGCTCCCACTCCTGTGCTTGGGATTATATAACTACTTACTCTAAATTTCTTTCTATATTTTTCTTTTTTAAAGAATAGAATCATATTATACATATTTTTTCTCCAAGTTTATTTTTTTGTTTCATGATATTATCCCGTTCATGTACAGGCTGGTAGGTACACATCTGTTTTTGAGTATATGTGCATGAACTTAGGACAGTTTGGAAGAGAAGATTACTAAGTCAAAAGAGGCATTGTTCTAAGCCTACACATACTGCTTAACACTCAAGACAACTCTTTGAAGTAGGCGCTGTTACTTTCCCTGCATTGTGTACAAACAACCTCAACCACTAAGAAGAGTTACATCAAACTCAATAGTGACTATAGCTGGAGGTGAATGGAAGGGGGGAGGTGGGAGGGGGTTAAAAGAAACAGCATGTAGTAAAAGAGAAAAGCTTTGCTCTTATGTTTGGTTTATGTTTCTTTCGATAAGTGATTGTTTTTGAGACAGGTTCTCACTCCGTAGTCAGGCTTGCTTTGAACTCACTGTGTAGCGCAGGCTGGCCTCAAACTTGCAGCAGTTCTCCGGCCTCAGCCTCCCGAGTGCTGGAGTTACAAGCGTGTGCCACGCCTGACTCAATAAGTATTTGTTTTTAAATAATAATAAAGCACATGTTGAAATCTAGCACCACTAAAGTATTACCCAGCTCTCAGATTTCATTAATCAAAGGATCTAAACATTTTATTTCTAATGATGATGCTGGTAATTGTGCTGCATTGACATAATTACCTCCTTTATAACTGGTAGCCAGATTGAGAGTAAGAGAGGGTGATACCTAGGGAATGTACACATAATTTATAGTCTCCTCCTCCTTGAAATTGATAATACAGGTGATCCTTTATCCAAAATGCTTGCAATCAGAAGCATTTTCAGATTTTGAATTTTTTTTTGATTGTAGCATATTTGCATATACATACATATATATACACATATATATCTTGGGCCTGGGACCCACATCTAGATATAAGATACATCATGCTTCATATACATAATTTCTATACATAGCCTGGAGGTAATTTAATGGAGTACTTTTAGTGTAGCTACATTTTGACTGGAACTTGTCACATGAAGTCAGGTGTGGAATTTCCCACTTGTGACATCATGTCAATTCTCCAGTTTTCAGATTTTGCAGAATTTCAGATCTTGAATTTTCAAACTAAAGATAACCTATAGTAGGCTCTAGACCAAATGAGTATGGGATCAGTTTGAGGGAAAGCATTAAGGAGATAATGTAAGAAAACCATCCATCTGTCTTAGTTACTTTTTCCCATGGCTGAGACAAAATACCTGACACCCAAAATTAAAGGGGAAAGGTTTATTTGGCTTACAGTTTGTAGAGGTTTCAATCCATAATCTTCTGTCTCCAAGGCAGGGTTTCACATGGCAGTGGGGTACCAGTTCATGGTGGCAGAACAGAGCAAAAGCAACAAGCAAGGAAAGAGACAAGTCTCTTTCTGGCCTTTGTATTGTACCCAGTCTACCAGGATTAGGGTGATACCCACCCAATCAGAGGACTGGTCCAGCATCACACCCTTGATCCCAGCATCCTTAATCCTAGCGTTGAACCACGAAGCAGTCACAAACTCTAGATTCGGTTACCTCTGAAAAAGCCCCCTCTAAAAATGTGTGAGGCTTTGAGGGGGAGGTCTAGACACAAACCATGACATATATCTACATTTGGTAGGAAAAATGGAAGAATTAAGTTTTGTTACTTGTTTAGATCATTTTGAATCCCGGGGCAAGGATCTTTTTATTTTTTATTTATATTTTTTTCCTACAATCTGTTGAACCCTTGCAGGTTCACTTGTTGCTCCATTACGGGGCTTCCATAGTTATCATGCTCTGTTCTTGAGCTTGTTGTACATAAAAACCATCTGGATTATTTCTTACACTGAATATGGAGAAATAGGTATGTCATATAATCAAGCATTCCAGCGGTCTCTTTGTTTTAATACTTCTGTGTAACCTAGTATGTATGGTCCTTGAAAACAGTGTTACAAATGTGTTCTGTCTTGAAAGTTAAAGAGTTTTATTACCAATCAAAGATTTCCTTCCTGTGGAAATTTCAAATTTTTAATTTTTTCTTGTCATTACTGTTTAAATTAGTTAAACTTTAGGTAAGCCTCTTACGTGTCATAGCTGGATGATTCATTTCTTATGAAAATGTGCACTTGACCTGTAATTTAATTCTGTGTATTGAATCATCGAATTGTAAAGCTGGAAGAAGCTGAGTGATTAATTTGGATAGTTTTTCCTTTTGAGGAAACTAACTTAGAAGAGGTTAATGAATGGGTTGAAAGTCCCTTTTATGGCCAGTCAGAGAAAAAAATAAAATCTAATTTGTAGTCCAGTTAGTCTGGCTTTCATTTTAATCCTGTAAAAGTGTGTGCTTTCTCTATGCTGAGACAAAACAACCCTCACTCACAATTTAAAGGAGGAGGAATTTATTTTGGTTTGCAGTTTTGGACCATGGCCAGCTGGCTCCAAGGCAGAACAGGA